AATAGCACAACAACTGCTCAGTAGGCAATCACTAGCACAAACCACTTGGAAAGAATCAAAAATATAATAGCACAATTTCTCATTAGAAATTCAATTTTTGCAGCAGCACATCAAACGCGCGTCTACTCCATAGCGTGGTCGACAGACTTTTTTTTTCCAGAACATAATTCATAATTATTATTGATTCCCCTTCTGGGATAAATGCCGTCAACTTTAAAGGGCAGAAATTTTGCTGACTTCGATCAACAAAAATCTTATACACCTCATAATATCGATTCCATATAATGCTGGCATGTTCAAGTTTCGATCTAATGTAAGTAAAGTCAAGTGTTTTAGTAGTGCTGATATTGTCAAAACTCCTACATTTCCTTAACAAAACCCATATGCTAAAGATACAGTTTTGTGAATATGGTATGTTTAGAAAAAACCCAAATCGAAAATAACTCCTAAATCCCTAATATCTGTATGTTATATCTAAAGCTTTTAAAGTATTTCTTCCTTGTGAAACTCACCACCTTTACCACCATTTAGGGTTAGTTCACTACTGTTACTCAAGTTCTGAATCAGGTCAAGCTGGCTCTGATGTTCCAAGTAATCAGTGATGTTAAATATCGTGCGATATATTTTCAAATCATCGGCGGAACCAATTTTTTCTACTGTTAAAGTATCCAATAAATCATTTATAAAGATTAGAAAAAGAAACGGTCCCAAGTTTGATCCCCGTGGATCTTCAGATATAGCTCCATATGCTTCCGACTTACACCCAATATACGAGGCAATTTGTTAGCTATTTGTTAATAATGACTTTATAAATTTCACAGATTCACCAGAAAATCCAAAATCCACCAGTTTTCCAAACAAAACGCTGTGATCAATTTTACCAAAAACTTTAAAGGAATCCGTATATATTCCGTCTACCTGGCTGCTATCATCAAGCGCTTCAGATATGTACTGGGTCACTGTCAGTAGATTAGTGATAACAGATGTGGATCAAATGGTAGAAGAGCCAAGATAGCAGTACTGGAGTTCCAATGGATGCTTTGCACGTCTCTGCCTTTAGTTTCTGAAGTCTCGTTTATCTGCTACTACAAACTATTGTACGCGTGGGTGATATGGTCCAATAGATCCTCCCTTTATATAACCATAGAGGATCAAAGCTTCCCCAAAATGGATTTGGATTCACGCCTGAATAGATGTGCAATAAATTTGAGATGATAAACTGGTGAAATGCAATTCTTCTTAGTACTGTCGCCTGCCTGGACCCCTGTGTGCGTTTTATGGATACCATGTAATTGTATAAATTTGAGTATTGCTTTAGGCATCCCAGAATAATACTTGAATGTTTATATCATTTATTTGTCTTTGGGAGTATTTGATTCGCAACTTAACAGAAGCTATCTAGAATACCATACCTGAAACTAAAGTTACGACCCGAGTTCAAAAATACTGTTGGTTTAACGTCTCGACCGATCAGGCATCCCATTCTACATTTCAAATACCGTTAAGAACTGGTTCATTTTAGGATACATCTTACAGCCAATCTCTCTGCTAAATTATTTGACTCTACAGTTTGATAGTTTAAGAATATGACTGACTGACCAGATCGGTCAAAGAGAATAAATACAATGTTTTTCCATTTTATGAATCTAGCTTCAAAAACATGAAAGCACAATATGTATGCTGATTCAACGTGGCAATCACCACTCCAAGATTATAGGCGTTCGATGCAGGCGCAAAATCCAAACAGGAGCAATTCAAGGACCGCTACCAGTTTCAACTTGCTCCATCATAATAACGTATCAGGCACTCCACCCAACTTCAATATCGCCTCTATCGCTACACATGCATATATCTGCATGTACACGTTCCTCATGCGTATCTAAATTAGGTAGGAAACTTGTTCGCAAATGAAGCCATTTTGAATGTTGGTTTATGGAGTGGCCAAATTTGGTGTCGCCGTTTGTAAAATATCCCGTGGGTTGACGCGAACAATGGCTCGTATTTCAGGAAAATGGCGCATATAAATCTCGGCGGTTCGACCATGCCGCGACGCTAAAGCCAGACATACACGTTAGAGGTATTATTGGCCTGTACTATCATATCGGTCAGGTAAGCTTAGGCTAAGAGTTGGGCAGTAGACATACACGTAACTATAAGCACGTACACTGAATTTAAGTGCACTTCAGTTACATGCTCCGATTTTCTTGTTTGGTTAAAATGATCATTTGAAAAAGAAAAATATGCAGAAAGTTCTTGTCACAACGGCATTGCTTTCAAATGAAGTAGTTGCCACCCCCACTCCCCACTCAGCAATAGCCTTCATTCGAATTTCGTGCTTTTAATTTTCTCACCTACACATAATCACAAATCCATCTTGTCCTCGCTCTTCAACTTCATTATATGGGTCTCATACGAGCTTTGTGCTTCGAACTCCCAAAGTTCCAAGTATATCCACCCCTGCTCTTGTGCGTATGGCTAGCTTCATGCGAATGGCATACTTCGCAGAAACCTATAGGCAGCGAATCGGGTGTGCTCGGAGGCCGTCGTTGGTTGCTAGAGCCGCTCTGGCGACTTGCGAAATACGCTCGCTGTGAAGTATGGCGTTGTGAGGTGTGAATTCCGGGTTGCACGCCTTAATTTTGTTTCTTTTAACTGATTATAGTTCACGACCTCGAATAATATTCTCTGATGTAGTGTGGAAATATTTTACTTGATGACGTTCTTCTGTCCATTAGCTAAGGAGGCTGGAGTATTTTATAATGTATATTCATACATAATAAGGAAAATGTGAGATTTTATTATTGCTTTCAGTTTTACGGTAGGAACGATGGATAAATTCAAATAAAAGAACATTTCTCGCTAAAACAGTTATGACAGCGTCACGGCTGTTGCCGAAGTAAAAAATTATAAAGACTATAATGAATCTGATTATCGTACCACTAGCTAAACATTTCAATATTTGTAATCGAAATAGTACCTTTCCTAAAATTCTCAAGATATAGAAAGTCATTCCAATACTTAAAAACGGGTCGGGTGATATGCTTTCCAACCATCGACCAATTTCTCTAATCTCATACTTTGCTAAGATTTTTGAAATTCTGCTAAAGGATCAACTTACCTCTCATCTAGAGTGAAGTCAGTTATTTAATGACAAGCAGTTTGGATTCAGACGGAACAGATCTACTACTACAGCAATCAATTGTCTTATATATCTTGTAAACGAAGGATTTGTGAACCATCTACATACCAAGGCGGACCTTTTTCATTTATCTAAGGCTTTTGATTGTTTGCAACATAATATTTTAATAAAAAAATTACCTTATCATCACATTCATCCTTCTAGCATCAAGATTTTAGACTCTTACTTATCCGACAGAGAACAATTGGTACATTTTAATGGCTGTGAACCATGGAGTTCCTCAGGGCTCCGTACTGGGACTACTGCTGTTTTTATTATACATTAATGATATCCTCAATAGCCGGTCTCAGATACGCACAATGCTGCTTTGTTTTTATATACTGATGACACTACTTTGGTAGATTCTAATAAATATGTAAACACCTTTGTCGAAACAAGCCCATTGTGTAAGTCGGACCTTGATGATTGGTTTGCTGCCAATACTGATAAAACTCAGTTTATAATAGTAAGCTTACGCAGTCATGAGTTGGATACTGCTCAATCAGTGAAATTGCTACTAGTACATATTAACTGTACTCTGATATGGGAGGTGCATACTCGCTGTGTGGTGGAGCGTTTGTCCAGAGTTATATATCTCATACGTAGTCTAAAGGATAGAGTATCTGATAAAGTCTTATTAACTGCTTATCATGCATATTTCCTTTCTAAAATGACATATGCAATGTTGGTCTGGGGACACTCTCCACATATGCAAAAAGTGTTTGGCATGCAAAGGCTTTGTATACGATACATGTCTGGTTTGAAATACAGAAACCCCTGCAAGGCTGAATTCATTAAATTGGCGATACTAACCCTTCCATGCGAGTATGCTTTGAGTTGTTTCCTATATATCAAAAGTAACATTAGTACCTTCCCCACTCATAGTGATAACCACAATTATGAAACACGAAATAGAAACAACATTTGTCATACTAACTACCGTCTAGAAAAATCAAGAGCTGGAACTAACTGTTATGGCATTAAATTTTTTAATCTGCTGCTCAACAATATAAATGATTGGATATTGATGTTTTTCATAGGAAACTCAAGTATTATTTAATAAAAAAACGCATTCTTTAGCTCGGACGAATATTTGGCAAATGACTTTACTGTGATTATACCTTAAATGTTTATTCATTTATTTATTTCTCCAACTTGTGTACAGTTATTGTTTTGTTTGTCTGTATGTGTATAGTTAATTGTATTATACAAATAAAAGTTCGTTTGCAGTAAAGTAGCTTTTTTATTTTTCGGTCGACACAGTACAATTGTTGTAGTACAGAATCATAACTTAGAACGGTTAGAGAATGAATGAATCATGAATGCTGGCACAGCGATGTTTTTATACTAAATCTCAAACAAAGAAATATTCCAGAAAGCTCTAGAAGTAACATCTGTAAATCTTAAGGCGCGTCCAGACATGTGTAATGTATCGTGTAATGTAACGTGTAATGTAACGCGAATTCTCCGTTTGGACGGTACTGCGAGCATTACGTGTAACGCTCGCCGAATGGTTCGAGGGAATCCATCGGATGTCGGTTTTTTGCCCGAACACAAAGGCGCTCGCGCTGAGCTCGCAGTCTACGTTTGGACGTGATTCGAGTTGTATGTGTTATTGCGACATCGAGCCCTAGTTCGGGATAAATTAATAACGTCTATAAATCGTATTTAGTGTTAGTTGAGGTGTTATTTTTAAAATGTGGAGTGAAGAAAAGTCACTAGAGTTAATTGAACTGTACAAAAATCAGTCAGTCTTATGGAATCCGAAAGACCCTACATATTTTAAAAAACCATTAAAAAATGATGCTTGGCGAAAAATTGCAGACTCTCTGGGGATAGAAGCAGAAGAGTGCAAAAATAAAATGATTAGTTTATTTGCATCCTATCGCAGAGAGAAGGCGAAAGTAAAGAAGCACCTAGGAACCGGAAAAGGTATGTTTATCCCTTAATTAAATACTTAGTACCTACGGTAAAATCTTAATCAGATTTTTTAAACTTGGCTATTATCTTTTTTTTTTTTAAATTTACTACGTTATTAATTCGAAATTATTCACATTGACAATACTATAGATAATAGACAATTGGGTAATAATATACCCTTAAAAATTAAATTAGTTTGTGGAGTAGACAGTATACTGTGTTTTGTTACCATTTTTATACCATTTATTTTTATTTTTTGCAGGCAGTCAAGAAATATATCAAAGCACATGGTTTGCCTATGAAGCACTGGCATTTTTTGGAGACAGGGACAATCCAAGAAAAAGACTTAATTCTATGGTAAGTATTTTTTATAAATGCAATAATAAATACAGTTTATAAACTATACATATGGTATATACTATTTAACAGTATCGATCTTGCCATGGAACTTTTCCCTCATTGCAGAAATAATCAGAAAATTCTTCTCTGATGTGTTTTGCTATCAAAGGAGCTCTTCGTGGTACATTCCTAAGTGGAAGTAATGAACCTATATTTGGTTCATTTCTCCAAGATCCTTCAACAATTTGTCCCGCTTCTTCACGATCGAAAGATCCAAGCGGTGTGTAATATCTTTGTGATTCTGAATTTTTTCTTAAAAAGTTATGTAGATGTGCAATGGTCATGACTATAATCTCAGCGTTTTCGGGTTGGAGAAGTATTGGTCTACGTAAAACTCTAAAAACTGAAGCTATGATTCCGAAAACATTTTCAACAATTCTCCGCGCTCTGCTTAAACGGTAATTGAAGATTCTTTGCTTTGAACCTTTAGGAAAATCTCCTGGATCTGGTTTCATTATATGTTCAGCTAGTGGAAATGCAGAGTCACTTACAAGAACATAAGGCACTTCTTTATTTCTTCCAACTAAAGTTTCTGCTAGCGGTAAACCCAAGTTATCAGCTTCCAATTTTTTGAAAAAAATTGTATCCTTAAATACCCCACCATCTGATATTCTGCCTTGACATCCGGCATCCACAAATAAAAAATTATATTCCGCATCCACTACGGCAAACATAACAATGCTGAAAAATGGCTTGTAGTTACGATATTCAGTTCCACTGTGAATTGGAGCATCGATAATAACATGTTTTCCATCCATAGAACCAATGCAATGGGGAAAATTCCATAGTTCTTCAAACTTTTTTGAGATTTCTTTCCACCCCGCTGGAGTAGTTGGAACCTGAAAATTTGAAAATTATATTTTGTTGCAGGCAGAAGACATCGACGTCGTAAGTAACAGTGTTTCTAGAAATGATGAAAATGATAGTGTGAAGGAATCAGACATGCCAAGAGAGTCCATTTCACATTCGCAACCACCAAAAAAGAAGAGAAGTTACACGGAACCTAGAGAAAACAACAAAAAAATTGAAATGCTAGCTGAAGCCCTCGACATACTAAAGACAACGACCACTCAGACTCAACCTGCATCAAATGTTTCATTAGATAACGAAAATCTTCACTTTATTAATTTCATTGGCAGCAAAATGATGAGGTATCCACCAAATGTTCGGAATGCTGTAGAGCGTGCTATAACAGATGTATTATTTAAAGCTGATGAAGGATACTATAATTTTTATCCTAAACAGTACGCACAGCAGTTACAGCAATGGCCTAGCAACAATACGACATGCACTACCTCTCAAACGCCCGCACCTCCCGTACGTGTGGAGGTACCCGCTATTTCCCCATATGGAACGTTTTCTGAGCCATCTCCCGCCTATTCACAACTATCTCAAGAATCTTTCGACATTCAAGATTTGGTGTAAAATTAACAAACATATGTTTCTTATACTAACATTACTATCTAAATTTAAAACTAAATTTAAATTTAAATAAAAGGTAATAAATAAGTATTAAAAACTTACCAGTATATTTTCTTTTATGGCTTCAATAATTGCCAAGCAAACTTCTGGGACAATCAAGGAAATAGATTGCTTTGAAATTCTGAAAATGTATTGTAGACTTGTGTAGGAATCCCCCGTTGCTAAAAATCTCACTGTAAGTGCTAATCTATCTTGAACTGATATAGCAGCTCTCATTGGGGTATCATATTTTCCTACTTTTGGTCCGACTAAAGTAATTAAATATTCAAAATCGATAGGTGACATACGTGTGAAGTTTTTGTATTGCCCACTTAATTCCTGAGATTTTAAATCAATCATCAATTCCGAACCGGCTCTTTTTTTATATAATTGTGTTTTCCACCAACGGCGACGACGGCGTGGTTTATTTTCATCTTCATTTTCCTCCACGAGTAAATACATAGCTATAAATGCAGCTCCCGCAACTACTACCTCCCTCGACATGTTCGCGAATACTAAATGGATAAACAATTCGCGGTAAGTATTCTGGTTGCATTCATTCTATGCTCAGGTAGCGTCCAAATGAATTCGCATTACATTACATGTTACATTACACGATACATTACATATGTCTGGACCCGCCTTTAGAAATTGATAAGAGTTGGAGAGCTGTGCAAACAGTCGTTATTCGAAGAAATGACCGATAAAAAACGGTCACCTTAAGGGGATGGTCATTCTAGCGTACTGCGGAATTAAGGGGATGGTCTCTTAAGGAAACTAGTTATTAGGATACCATAATTTACATATATATTGCTAAGCGATCTTCTTTTATCTCACGACGACATTATTGTTTTGTTTTTGTTTCAATTTGCTTTTAGTAATTATGCATTACGCAGCATTGCATTGTTTTTAACTGGTTTCTTTTCGTTTATATAACTTGTGTAAACACTTTCTGTGTATTACCATCAATAAATTATTATTATTATTATTGTCACTGACTCAGAGCTTATTAGATAATATCTTTACAATAAAGCCATGTGAATAATATAGAATATACATTACATCTCAGTCGTCAGCTAGAGACAAAAATGAGGCCACAGGCGGTGGACCGCACAGTACGAAAGATAAACGTCATCGCTGTGAACTAGTAAACTTTTTTGACATATGTCTCTGACTGCACAGCTTTGCTAAAGTCAACTTTACGCTCAGCTGGACCTCAACATCATGTCTGAGTTTAGCTTAAGCAGACAGTTGAGCTGAGTTTAAGAATTTATCTGCTTAAGGTGTATTTTTTACCTAAAATATCAACTTGCCAGTTTGATATTTTTATGTTTTGACCTACTGGCGACCGTTTGTAGACAGTAATGGATTAGCATGTAATGACACTTAATGACAGCCAACTAATTGCTAACCATGATTTCTGCAACCATTATAGTTATTATGCGAGACCCTATTCTGCCAATTTTGAGAGGTTTTTAATAACTGAATAAAATAAATAAACAATAAACCATGAGAATGTCAAGTGACAGAACTATTATTTCCAAGGCTTTGAGCATGGGAAGAAATGCGCACTTTTAACGTTCCAGAAGGATTACTGCCTTCTATTTCCGAAAGCATGTAACAGGTACGTCAAACAATTACAAACGCTAAAAATGTTACTGGGTAGTACAAAGTACACTGTGTCACAATTCCCGAACACATCCCTGATCTTTGTCAGTTAAATTCTTGGTACGAGGCTAGAAATATAAAACGTTCTTCAAGGTTCTTCATGAAGTGCTAATTCTTTATTTCTAAGCTGGAGATGATCCGAGGAAAGTTCCAGATGATAGACATTGTCTTTACAGCAGCAAATTTAATAACCTTACAGAAAAGAAGTTATTTTCATTCAATCTAAATAAAATATATATGGGCTTGCCTTTTTTGTCGTATAACCTCGGTTTGGAAGAAAACAGGCAACCAAACACACGATTTGTAGTTAAGACGTAATTTTCCTAAAAAAATTACGAAAGATGCCATGTTGTCAGATGCACCTTTAACTCAACCAAGTTTTCACAAAATCGGAGTGGTGCTACAAAAACTCAATTTGAGATTGAGATTCATTTGGATCTCCCTTTCTAAGTAGTGGATTGAAACAGGCGGTACATCCCGACATTGGAGTCATTCATTCTCAATAGCAGCGCCTGTGTTGTACGTAAAATGTACGATAGCTAGATGTTTACTATCGTCTTGCTCACTTGTGTCGATAAAAGGTGTGCAAAATGGAATCATTAGTGCATTTACAATGTATTGCGTTCTTAGTAAATAAAGTAAATATTCTTTAAACCTCATCGTTTATAAGATAAGAAAAAATATCACAAAATTGTTATTCCAAAGATCGTTCATATATAATACAATCAGGATGTATAATCAGCTCTCGCAAGACTTCAAGCTTCTAGACATAGACAAGTCTAAATTCAAATTAAAACGTTACTTGTCTGATATGCAGTAGGATGATAGTACTCGTATATTCCAAATTAATTTCTTTGTTACGTCTTCATTATTGCTTGTTGATAGTTATAGCTAAATACCAAAAGTGGTCAGATCTCTTTTTAATATAAAATTCACTGCTCCTGTCCTTTAACATTGATTTATATAGTAGTAAAAAGTTGAAAGCATAATCACACAATTTCATTGCAAATGCCTGCGTTGCTCAACTCTTTTTGGGAAACTTCATTCGACATACTTATACTTTTTTTGTCTAATTCATGGATTCTTTAGTTTAATTCCAGCTTTAATTGTTTACTTATTTGGATGCTGCCCTCCAGTGGTTAAGTAGAATAGCTATTAGCTAGATTTCGCTACTGGTATTGTATTGCTTTTTTGATAACTTAATTTCTTTGTCTAAGAAAATCAATAAGACAGTTTATTATTATTATTGATCCCGCTGAGTATACACAAGATATCATCTTTATGAAAACAGTTGAGTTCATGTGTAAACATAGGTGCACCGTTCGCAGACCCAACGTATGTATTTTCGAAAACTGAGTAATGTATAACATTTCGCGCCCAAAATATCCTCTCAAAATAACAGCATCGCGACTGCATTTATCTCGTCCTCCTTCCCTTTCCCCGCTGCTCTGTTATTTATCATTGCGGTCCGCGTAATACACGGTTTCCTCTGCAAGGCAATTAAATGCAAATTTTACGATCCGCAAAACTCCATACGCGCGAATTCTTTCATTTTCCTAAATCCGGCGGTGTCAACGCGGACAATTTACGGCGGAGTGTGCGACGTCGACGTAGCTGTAATTTAATTTTTGCGAAATACGTATATGAACCTGCATTTTTTTTGGAAAATACATGAAATGAGATGAATCGCGATGGGTTGATATACGTATGAGCAGAGCAACTTAGTTACGACAGATGACGCGGTGAAGACAAAAAATACACAACACACAAAGACTCAGAAAAGAGATAAGATCAGAAACAAATATCGAGTAAACATTAAGTTCAAAAGAACCGATACTTGCGAAATTTGACTTTTCACATTTCCTCATATATTGGTGTTCCCAAAATCATACCAGTTTTCGGCATTATTGAAAATAATTACATTTACTAGCTAGATCAGCCAATAATATTTGATTTTTACTTCGGATACCGACAGAATGTGACCCTATGCGTTTCTTGTAAAACTGTCGACGTTAGCGACAAGGTTCCTCATATATGACACAAGCCTAACCTACATGACTGACTCTGTGGGTAGGGACTTAGTAGGAACGCCAGAACTCATTGTCACCACTTTGCCGCGAAATACGTTTGAATTTTGGAGTTTTGACATTTCTAGTTCATAGAAACAAGTGAAAACTCTGAATAAACTTTTGGATCCATTCGTTGGTATAGAATAGAATAAAAATATATTGGTTTCTCAGTTATAAAAAACGGAGAATACACGTCATTGCGATACAGTGTAAATAACATCAATTTTTTCAAAGTACATACAAAAACAAACATACATAGACAACATATAACAAAACGATATTGATACTTGTTTACTTGAACTTGATACTTGAATCGGGAGAATTTCCAGATGATTATAAAGTAGGAGAAGTAAAACTCATCCACAAATCCGGTGAAAAATAGATACTAACAATTACAGGCCTATAACTCTAATATCCAACTTTGCAAAAATTATTGAGATAATTATAAAAACACGACTTCTAAATTTTTTTGATGAACATAATCTGATTAATGAAAAACAATTTGGATTCCAGAAAAACAAGTCTACCCAAGACGCAATTCTTTTTTGACATCAAAATTATTCAAATTACTGGACCAAAGTGAATGTACCCTGTGTGTGTGTTTTTAGATCCAGCAAAAGCATTCGACACAGTAGTCCACTTGCTACTATTAGAAGCCTTACACGACTCAGGAATTAGAGGCAAGGCTTACAACCTCATGAAAAGTTACCTTTCCAACAGAACACAGTGCGTACAAATAAATAATTCCTTAAGCACAAACAAATTGACAATGTTAGGCCCCTTATTATTTTCTCTTTACATTAATAGCCTGCTGAGCTTAAAATCTGAAGGGACAATCATATGTTTTGCAGACGTTACTGTTATCATTTAGTCTGATAACAACTCATGGGATGATCTGAAAGTGAAGGTTGAAAGAGACTTCAATAATTGCAGACTGGTTCAGACATAAATGCCTAACTACTAACTTTCAAACGACTATGTTCATGCCATTCACAAATCACAGAAGCAAATTACTATCCTTTGTATCTATACAGATTAACTGTGATAATATGAATACTCAAATAAATGTAACAAACAAAATAAAATAATTAGTATATTTCGCATACATATTTATGCTTTTTTTGAGTATAGGGAGTGCTCAAATGGATTGAAGATGTTGAAGTAATAAGGGTTTAGGACAATACCTCATTCCACTCGTCAGTTGAAGCAATGACAATGTGTGATAACACTAGATCAAGAAGCATAATATCTGCGTTTGGTCGAAAAAATATACTGGTTTGCTT